AAAAACATCTACTGTCATCAATTACAAAAAAATACAAACATGTTTTGATGTAACCACACATCATATCATCCGTGTAATAGCGTTTGATTTCAATAGGCTTAATACTGCTGTGTCGGCTAGATAGCAGTTACAGTATATTAACCTGTTGAAGCATGCAGTACAACGTGTTGTCGTGTCAAAATCATGGCTTAATTAAAACTAGTCTATTTTCACTAGATGTTTTGCTGCTTTAGTAGCTAAATATTGGTCTAAAATAGCATCACACTAACTGTAAATCTGTTGTTTAATTTCTCATGTAAAATTTTGGCATCAATCTCGCTCTCACTGGTTATTATGGTAGACAATTAATGCAACTTGACTGTTTCACCCGGGAGTTGTTATTGGTTTCACAAAGAACCTGTTTTCCAAATTATAACTCTGTATCACCCATAAACACAACAGTTCACTGAATGGGATTTTCGCTTAGGGCCATCCTAAAAGCAGTTTGGGCATGGTTCGCTCGGTTACACTCAACCGCCTAGCTGAATGTTTACTCAGCCTGTTTGCACTAGTATCTTGTTTTCTTCTTTGATCAAAGTGTCCAGGTATATTTTTATTTTCAATAATATAAAAGCCAATCTATACAAGTCATAAGATTTTTTTTCAAATTTTTTTTTAATGGAAATTGTACAATGATAGTGTTATTCAATGAAGCATGACTTGACTCTGATCTTACAGGATTGAGAGGTCTGTTTGTGAAGAAGAAAGATCAGACAGACATGAATTCAAATAACAACGTTAACGAGGTTGTGGATACTGTATCGTACGCCCCCGATATTCATGATCCTCCGGAACGACCAAGTGCTTTCAACAAAGTTTTACTACAGATAAAAGCAGGCACTCTACTGTAAGTTTTTTTTTCAATAATGATCTGATGATTTGATAATGAATATTCATAAAAATATGTAATACTGATGCCGGGGTACTCATGTTATTAAATGTGTAAATTTTGTAGGATTTGACTGAAATTTGACTTATTATTGTAGTGTAAATAGTGTAGATTTGTATAGCACCGGTATCCATCAAACCAAGTGCTCATGGCGCTTGATATGTGGCCTAGCAACTTGATAAATAACTTTCTCCGCCCCTAAGGCTCGCTTTGTGTCTCTGCTACCCGGTAACCTGGTACCAGCAACTCTTGTCGTCCACCACAGGGGCTGTCTGTACCAGTACATTGGGGTGTCCCCCTACTTGTCTCGAATGATGTACTGTACTGGGTTCTTCATAGTGCACATGAGCCATTGTGGACACTGGACCTATGGTTTATAGTCCTTATCCGAGAAGACTTGTTCCATTACCAGAACCACAGGCGAGTGTGCTATTCAAACCAGCGCTGATATTGCTTTAGGTTGTGGCGCCCCTGTCTCGGCCATTCGACTCGCCTTTCTTGCCTTTAGTATTCCTTTATTAAAATGATGTAAACTTGAAACTTGGATTTGTTCCAAATTAATTGGTCTATTTTACTAGATTTTAACTACATTATTTATTTGAATAAACTCAGGAATTTATTGTTAAGAGGAGTTTTTGAGGGGTTGTTTATTCAAGAGAAGCGGGTATTTTTTTTTGGGTGTAAAATGGATACATATATATATATATACTCAAATAAATGCCCCGTAATTTCGCTTTAAAATGGAATAAAAAACATAGTTACCGTCAAAATGTGTTATTGCATGATCATAAAGACTTTAATAGTGATCCCAACCAGGTTAGCATAAATGTAATTCTACTGGAGTAGAACAGTAAAAGAATGTGTTGAGAATGATGTTGCTTCCATTACATTTGTTTAGTCATTTAAGGGGGTCGGGAGATTTATTCGAGGGGGAACACCATTTTCAAACTGGGCGGGGATCAATAAGTCTTCATGATCATGCAATAACACATTTTAACGGCAATTAAATGTTTAGTTCTACATTTATAATGAAATAAAGGGGCATTTATTTGTGTACATATCATATCCATTTTACACTTAAATAAAAAAAAACCCCTCACCTCGAATAAATGCTCCCTCAAATAAATTACCCCTTAAAAACCCTTCTTAACAATAAATGCCCCAGGGCATTTATACAAATAAATATGATTATTAATATTATAAATTGTTATGTAATTTCTCAGAGTGTGGTTAGTACTATAAAACATGTTTTTTTCTTAAGTTTATTTCAAATACTGTACTATCTTCAGGCATATTGTGTTTACAATTAGAAATTTTTCTTTTGAGGAAATATTTCTTAAAAACAAAAGGAGCATTCTATTCAAGTGTCCTTGACTCAATAAAATTATACTATTAACAGCAGCAATGGATGATTGAGGAATATTACTCCATGTTTTGATTGTGAGCTTTTAAGATAACAAATTTGATTCTTTTATGAGCAGGAGTAATTTATTTATGTTCACATTTGGTCAAATCAAAAACAAATATGTTACTCATTTCATTTTTGTTTAACACATGTTTATTCTTCAAAAATTGGCAAGAGATAACACACTAAAATTCATTGTCCATCAACTTGGTGCAGGAAAATTGGTATATAAATTCAGGATTTGATTTATAACATATGCAGTTATATTACATGAAATTTGATTTCTAGAACACTTAAACAGTTAAATGTATAAAAACATAGTATATATAAAATGCGAAAATACTGTACTTAAATAATATTAAATATAACAATAAAACTAAGCAATGGTTATATTGTATGCATTGGAATTTTTAAAATGTCATATGCCATTAATCTTATTCAAAAATAAACTATGTACATGAGTTAAAAATAATAGTAAAGAAGCTGTTAAGATATAACATGTATAGTAAAGCAAGATTAATCCAGACTAATAATAAACAGTTATCCTGTGACTTCTTTATCAGAAGAACTAGCCGGCACAGGCCCGCCCATTAAAATCGCGAACACATTTTTTAATTTAAAAAATAAAGAAAATTACGTTCAAATTTAGGTGTGACAGTGCTATTTCCATTCATCATCTGCCAGCCATAAAATCTTGTACCTCAGCCCCCAACTTTAGTTGGGCTGAGGTGGTCTGGAACCTCCTTCTGGAGGTCCTTCCCTGGGCCCCAGTTGAAATTCCTGGATCCATCATTGGATTATAAAGTGGACAGACAAGGATATCTAAAAATTGAAAAGACAAGGCAGTTTCCAGAAAAGAAGATGGATGACAGAGAAAATTAACTTATTTTTACTTACTTGGCCATGACTGATGTAAGCTTTAGCAAGGTATTGTGGGTTAAATTTTAATTAGGTTATACTAAGTATTTTAAAGCAGGATAGACGTACAGGAAAATACCGTAAAACAGGATGCAATGCAGTAGTGCACTGTCACATACTGTCGTACTATTATATTTGCTGTGTCAGAGGTCATTTATTTGTTTGGTGGTCACTTAGACTTTCTTGGTTTTATTTTATTTTTTTCATATCTTAGCAATACTATTGCTGTTCAATTAATAGACAAACTTCATAATTGAAGGCTCCTATCCTGTGTATTTTATTTTCATAAACCATCACATATACAGTAGATATGGTTTTCTTTAATGTAATTATTTCTTAAAATCTTCATATAATTACCTTTAGTTCTTTCTTATCAAGGATAGAGTCTTCACATTCTATGGATAGCAATTTCTCTATTGCCTTAAAATATATCTATAGTGATTCCCCATTCCACAAACTAACATCTTTAGCATGGTGTAACCTAACTATAGGGCATGTTTTCGGAATATTGATTAACTATTTTTATTTGGTTTTCTTTGAGGTGGGAGGAAGTTACTCAGAGGTTTTATTCCTTATCTTTTTGTGACACTATCTTTTCTCTTAACCCTCTAGATACTGTCTTCGACTGTAGTCGAAATTAACCTCAAACCGAGAATTCCCATTTTCGACTGCAATCGAAATTTAGTGACTAAAAAATAGGTGGTTTTCAAATCGCTCTTCTGTTTTTATTTTAGCTCCAATACGTCAGAAATTTTGAACACGCATGCGTGAATCTTTCTTCTTTCGAAATATGTGAAGAACTCACATGCGCTTATATAAAAATGTTTAGAAATATCAATTTGAAATCGTTATTAATTTCGAAAATTTTCCGAAATGGCCACACAAGATGTGTACACAGCTGAGGAAGTGATTGACCTGATTTTTTATTCAGACAGCGGTGAAAGTGAGTTTTTAGATGTGCGAGACTTAGACGTGCCTGATAGCGATGATGACGGTGGGGCTTCAAACAGTTCTGACAGCGGAGATGTTCTTGATGAACATGAGCTTAGGCCTAGAAATGTGAGGGTGGTCATTGCTTTTGAATGGAAAGATCATGCTTGTAGTTATGGATGGTTGGGTAAATAAATTATATAACTGTGTGAAATAGGAATGTTTTATTATTTGTTTTTATTTTTTTTTGGCTATAATTTATTTATTTATTTATTTTTTTTTGCTGACGATTTGTATGTAGCATTTTTCTGTCATTTTTATTATATTATATATATTATATTATATTATGAATAAAAAATCCTACAAATATAAATTATACATCAAATGAAAACTTATTCTATAAGCTTTCTTTGTTTTTAGAAACATTTTTCTGTATAATTTACAGAAAGTTCCCAAAAATCCACCAGAACGACGTATACTCAAAAAACGCAAAAAACCTAGTTACACTGCAAAAGAATCCGGTATTTAAGGGTTTGCACTACAAAAGAATCCGGTATCCAGAGGGTTAAGAGCAAACTATGCTGCCATCCTTAAATTGTAATCTGTCCAAACCAAATTGATGATAAAGAAGGACTTGTGAATATTATGTACACTAAGAATGAAAAATGGATTTATTAATCATTAAATCCACAGTTAAGCCATCATGTGTTTAAGCATTCTAATTTTACATGTTTTAAAATATTCATTATCATTTTTTTCTTATGGAAGAGTTACATTGTACAGTACAGTAGGTGTTAGTGGTTTTTGCACTTACAGGTATACATAATATATTAGAGTAGTTAGTCATATTTTATATAAGGGTGCATTCGGGCGCGTTTTTTGTGGAGTCTAACACAGGAAAAAGGGGGAAATGACAATTTCCAGTTCTAGCTCAAACGGGTGTTAAACGCAGAAAGTCCGCTGATAATCCAACGCTGCAAATTGCAGTGTTTTGGGGGAGCAAAACTGACCTATTTGCACATGCGTTAACAGCAGGGAGCTTTTTTTTTTATCTTTTAAATCTCTTTTTGATTGCTCTTAATTGTTTTGGCATGCGTCAAAAGTAACGTTTGTTCTCTGCTTCTTTCACAGTTTATTTACAAAAACAAAACTGAAAAGCTTGATAAAATAAATTATTCCAACGGAGGGCTACCCTAGAACCCAGATTGTTACCTTATTACATTCCCCGCATTCATATGTGATCATGGTGCCACTGCTTATTCATTTTAAAATTCTAGTAATTTGCTGTTTTTAAACTACCATTGTCAAACGAATGAAAGTTTATTCATGGTTTACGCCCAAAATGCACATCTGCGATTTATTGGGAATTTGAAAGGCCTGCTTTATGATTTTTGTTGTTGCTTCTTCGGTCATTCCATTACTTGCTTTTGAGGCACCAACATTATGCAGTGGACCAACACCAATGTCCATTTTTTAATTAAAGTGTGGGGTGACGCAAGGGTTTTTACGTCTGAAGTTAATGGTTTTTTGAAAGCCAAATTCTGCACAAACAGGTAGACCACCCGCGGATCAAATACTGGTAAGAACCCTTTGTACGTTTTCCCGTTCTCGCCTGAACACGCCCTATAACAGAATGAAGAAAAACTGATTAGAGTACAGAGACTGATAAAAAAATATTTGAACAAGAGCTATCAGGAAGTAGTAGCATCAGAGGAGCGTTGATAAATGCTCAAAAGTTATTGATAGCTTTCAAGCCAAATAGCCAAGCCAAGTATGTTTGCAATGTCAACACGACTTTTGCACACATACCGTTTCTAACATCAGTCAGGGCTTAATGGTGAATTACACATTGAACAAAGGTAAACAGCAGTCTGTTATATCAGCAAGATGGAGGTAATTAAATCACTAGTAATGTGTGGAAAAGTACCTGGATGAACAATGTACAACTGAAATGATTTTAAGGGTGATAATGACTGAGTATGATTTTATGGATGTACTGTCGAAAGGATCATTTTTCCAATGGATAGAGGGCATATGTTTAGATTATCCAGGTAAGTTTTGAATCTTCCATAGATTATGCGGCAAGCAAGGATTCAGACGCAGGAGTTTCTAAGCCTATACAAATCGAATAAGTGTTGAATCAACTCTCATGTCAGGTCACAGCAATGGTCCAGAATGCCTGTTGGTAGTGGTTCATGGTTGGCTTCTTTAATTAACCGGCACTGCGACTACTATATGTAAGGTTGTGTTAATTAACTGTAAGGCAACAAATATTACATACATTTACAGCATTTATATAGCGCTACTGTATTTCATGAAGGTCAGAGCGCTCAAAGTGTGGACTAAAGTAACTCATACAGTAAATTTCTTCTCCCCTAAGGGTCTCTTCGTGTCTGAGCTACCCGGTAAACTGGTACCAACTACTCTTGTCTGTCCACAACAGGGTCTGTACAGACCAGTACACCGGGGTAACCCCTACTCATCTCGAAAGATGTACTGGGTTATTTATAGTGCACATGAGCCAGTTGTGTACACATGGCCTATGGTTTATAGTCCTCATCCGAGAAGAATTTTTCTACCTCCACAACCATAGGCTAGAGTGAACCAGCGTCACAACCATAGGCTAGAGTGAACCAGCGTTGATATTATGGCTGTAGGTTGCAGCACTTCTGCCTTAATCGCTCGGCCATTTGACTCAATTCTTCATTTTAAAGTTTTTAAATTATGGTACTTGTTTTTTATTATCATTTATTTATCATTCTTGTTTCTCTGCAGGAGAAAGGGTAGCGAAAGCAAACCTGCATATCCACCAATTTTATCTGTCACCAGAACCAAGTCAAATGCCAGTGATGGTGACCTCACAGGGAAGAGCAAGGGTGAGAGGACAAGAGCATATTCAGGAAATAGAGATGAAGGGAGACAAACAACTGACGAATTTGATTCGGTAAAAAATTCAGTTTGTTGAATAGAACTTGAATTCACCATCATACTGTTGCTATTTCCAAAAACAGGCACATGCATAATAATGAACAAATTGGCTAGCAGACAATTTATGGATTTTTAAAGATTTTTTTCTTAGATTTTTTTTGACAATAATGACAAGTCGGATTATGATATTTCATACTTCTACAAATTGTTGTATTTGCCAAGCAATAATTTCCTGTTGATCGACACAATACACTTTCTACAATCAATAATGTACACTGACATTTAACATCTTGTGTGGGAGGTTGCAATCATTTCTGGTTTTTCTATTACAATTTAATGTATAAACTCACATCCAAACCAAAGCCCAAATGTTGATACCAAAAACTGCAGTATTGCAGTATATGTATAGGGCAATATTATATTAAATATAATAGTATATAATAAGGTTTGCGGTACACCACTTAGATAGTTCTGAAAAGCACTGTTGTTGTTGGTTGAGAATATCTTGACGTTTCGATTGAGTGACTTCAATCGTCTTCAGGAGAATAATATTTGCAGAAATCCATAATAATATCTGCAGAAATCTATCAGGTGTCTTCCATATTTTTTAGTCTTCTTCAGCTGTTCCACATCCTTTGAAAAGACTGCTGATATTTGCTGATGACATAGTTAATCCAAGTGTAGCTTCCACCTACTTATGCTACCACAAAAACCAATAAGAAAATCCTTCAAAAAAATAAAATAACACAATATTATGGATGCATTAATAATTATTTTGATTTGCTACACATTGGTGGCTTCTACATGACTAACGCTATTGAATTCAGAGAAGGTTTTTTGTCTCTTTTAAAGTGACACAATTTAACATAAAAAACAAAACTGGCTAGGCTGATAAAGTAATTATATCAGAAGAAGGATCACAATACAATATTGTGGATGCAGTAAAAATTATTATTAAAATAATTATTTTGATTTGCTACACTTTGGTGGCTTCTATATGACTGTGCTATTGGATTAAGGGAAGGTTTTATGTCTGTTTGGTGACACAATATAACAAAAAATACTGGCTTGGCTGATAAAATAATTATATCAGAAGAAGGATCACAACAATACAATATTGTGGATGCAGTAAAAATTATTATTAAATAATTATTTTGATTTGCTACATTTTGGTGGCTTTTATATGACTATGCTGTTGGATTTAGGGAAGGTTTTATGTCTGTTTAAAATTGACACAATAAAACAAACAAAACTGGCTTGGCTGATAAAATCATTATATCAGCAGAGGGATCAAAATCACATTTCACTAAATCCTTTACAGGCAAAAGGTTGAAAATGTAGCTTGTCTGCGACATGGGTCATACACTCCTAGTTTTTAGGACCTAGCTACCTAGTGCAATTTACCTAATGTAATTTTCATTTTTTTGTAATTCATATGCTAACAAATTGCATGTTAATTAGAACTTTGATAGTTATTCTCCTGTCTACAATGTGTGATATGTATGAGAAGTACATCTGAAAATTATTCTGACTCTGATCGTAAAACACTTTAACATACAGCTATTGTTGATTTTAGATGGATGGCCTATCATCGCACACTGCTGGCTCTGACATTGGTGGTCTCGACAGCATCGATGGAACTCATACACCGGACTTGGACCGGACGAGGAATTTACGCGAGCACTATCGACAGAAGATAAAACGCATCAAAGAACAGATAAAAGCTGAACAGAAACAAAGTGATGGTAAGGATCCAGTTGTATTCTGACAAGTACATATTATTTGTATCTTGAAGAGTCCACTCCTAAAACATATTCAGTAGGTATTTAACTGAAAGTTGACCTGGGTGGATTTATGCTGGAGTTGATGCAATACAATTTAGGGGGAAGCTGACTTGAAAGAGTTAAAGTGATTCATTTGCTTAAGCTGCCATCTCCCCCTCCCTCCCTCCCCCTGTCTCTTATACACATCTTTGATTACGGTCAAATAAATAAACGAAATCAAACAATGAGATAGTAGTCAACAGCTAAGCCCATTTATTCTGACATTTTGTTGTCCTTTTCTATAATGTTGAAAGTTTATCTCTTATTTAATGTACATTACTGAACCTCAGTATCAATTTCTCTTTATGGCATGAAAATAATTCAACCAATGAGGTTTTTACATTATACTCTGGTTTAATTTTGAAATTGAATATATTGACTTTATAATAATATTTTAGAAAATTTTAATTTTTTTATATGCATGTCCGTGTTTCATAGTAAGACATCACATTTTTGTAAAAAAGCAAATGAAATCTTTAAAAAAAGGTTTTCTACATTAATTTACCAAACAGAGAATGTAAAGGAGTATTTAGAACTTGCAGAGCATGCGGACAAAGCTCAGGTGGCGAGGATTAAATCTGTGTTTGAAAAGAGGAACCTCAAGTCTAAAAACACCATGGACAACTTACAACGAAAGCTAGAAGGCTACTTAAAGAAGGTGCGAGACCTGGATCAGAATGGTTCCATCGGACCTAGAAAACCAATAGAAGTTTTACATGGAGTACAACAGGGACTTCGGTTTGTAGCCTTTGAAATAATAACGTTTTTATGAGTGATATTTTGCCTTACCTGACATATTATCGTACCAAATACTCAGTACGTTCCCAAATACTTGTGAAAAAATTCACACATGATTCGGGTGGGAATCGAACCCACAACCTCCAGATATCTAGCCTGGTGCCATATCTTATTAATGATCTTCATAAAACTTACAAGGAAGAGTATGTTATGCCTTAAAACCATTTAAAAATCAATTATAAGTGAATACATTTTTTGGGGGTAATTTTCACAATCAATCAGTTAATGATTCATTTAAGATAAGGCTGTCCACTTATCTCTCCTCTCGCCTTCCTTGTTATTTGTTGATTTAATATATGTGTCTGAAATGAAAGCCTCTATTTAAAACATATGCTTTCTTTCCCGACATATGTATTAAACAGGATGAGCAGAGAATAACAAATGTATAGATCATAAATATGTGAAATTGGTATAAACAGGATAGAGAACTAGAGAATAACAAAAAAAGGTGTATGAATACAAAAGGGAGAATTGAAATAAATAGGATATATATAGAATATCAAAGGTGTATGTATACAAAGGTAGAATTGATTATAATGATATAGATTAGTGGGTAGATGGATTAGAAATAACTAGTTCATTGACAGATTGAGGTTGTCATGTAAATGATGGCCATGTTACAAGAGCAAAGTGTTGTCATTTTATGAATGTGTACTGAACAAGTTTAAACATATACATTATACACCTAAATTTGCATTACTTTAGTGTTTTTCCTTGCTTAGCACATGGAGTTTGAAGGAAGAATCATTTTTCTTTGGGCTAATTAAATTGTGTCCAAAGATTATAGAACTACAAGAGGTCCGACTCTTGAGGTTTCGTTGGAATGTAATCCTATTTCAAAAAGTAGTACCACAAACTAGACGACGTTCTTCAGAGGCGAGTTTCAAAATCTTTCTGGATTCTAATAGGCCGTTTCCCCCCCCCCCCCAACCCTACCCTATGGCAGTACTTTTTTTAACGTTTCATTGCGTGCATAAAAAATCAGGCAGTCGGACTTATTGCAATTCTATACTCTTTGCTAAAACCCTGTATGTGGAATTTGTTGTCTAAAATAACATTTTTGTCGGTTCCTGATATATATAATACTACGCCACAAATTAAAAAAAACACAGCTTTGGTTTTTCTCTTTATAACAAAATCAATGACCTTATTTATAGCCTGCCAGCCAGGCCTGTAGTAGTTTAAGAGATCTGTACAAAATTTTAGATTTTATTTAACATGAAAGTTTCTTTATATATTTTTAATGTATTTTTATCAATTATTATTTTAGAAATGTCAAAGATAACATCAGTGACAGAGTGTCAGGAATTGGAGGGTAAGTTCATTTAAAATCTTAAAATATTCCTAGCTATAATAATGATTTATACCTATCTTAGTAATGCTATATATTATTATTGGAAGATTTATATATATATTGCTATGGAAACATCACATAAATGTGATAAATGGCAGAGAGATGTGCCATGTATTTTGCAAACTGGTGAATTTAGTAAATGTTGAGAGATCTGTATAATTTGCCTATAATTCAATCCGTATAGGTATAGATAGGAGAATAACCCATAACTCAGTCGATATGTAAAATTGCCTGTGGGCATGTTCTGTGACTATTAGTAGCAGCTGTAGAGAGGTGCTTAGTAGCTTACATCGTTCCAAAACAACAGGGGCAATAATGAACCTGTGCATTGGAAAAAGTGTTGTTCATCTTAAAGCTGCAATGAGTTATCTAATGTGAACACGAGCCAGATATGTACAAATTGCCTCCAGTTTAAATTCTTATCCTAGAAGGCTTAGTTCTACCAACCAAACGATAAGCGAGAAGGGTCTCAAACCAGTGCTGATATTAAGGCAGTTTTTAAGCAGTACCACTGCCTTACCGTTTTACCATTTTAATCGCCCACTTTTTGATCATATTACAAATAAACAATGCACCTTTTTCTTCAAAAGATACCTTGCTTTTCTATAAGCTGATATATTTAACAGTTAAATATATAAACTTTTTGTATTAGGGTAAAGCAGTTTAATTCCATTCTCCAGTTGTATAATAAATTTCCTCCGGTTGTACTACTGATTTTCACTGCAGATCTATTTCTGTACTAGTCTAATGAGGATTTGTCACCCTCAGTCACTTTAAGTCAGTGGTGTACAGTATGAGTCTTGAAATTGGGAGGGGGGAAGGGGGGGAGATGGCTGATGTCTGAGGGGATGCATGAAGGTGAAGTGGAGGAGCTCAATGATTAGGTGAGGGGTGTTAACTTGCAAAATAAGTTGATTTGAGGTGATTAAACTACTTGAGCATGATTTTTTTTTTTTGGGGTGGGGGCGACTGGTGAGTACGAGTATTTGGGGGAGTGTGCACACCCCTATTTTACTCACAGTTATGTCCTGCTCTGTTTACATATACATGTATTTGTTTAACTCTATCTTGTATATTTTTTTTATCTACCTCTATTTCCAAGAGGTGTAATTTCATTGGTTATTCTCTAATATAATTTGTACCTAATGTATTAACTCGGTCACATTGTGCACAAATTTATTTGTCTGCGAATACAGTTTTACATTTTGAATCATGATAGCTTGCATAACACTCTTCTGATTTCGTCTCGTACTATCTTAACCTTTTTTGAGTTTACAACTGTACGGTAATTTTAACATGGTGTTGTATATGTCATGTTTATTGAAATTTAAAGTACAGTAGATGTGTGATAACACAGTTTTATGAGTCTGTAGTGAGAGCTGTAAAAGGTTTTTGTGAAGGAACGTACTCCAGGACAGATGGAATCCTATTGACTCACACATACCTTATGTATCTTTAGAGCTGTGCTATCTCTGTCGCCCAATAGAGGAACAGCTGACAAGGGTAGTGGGCGATGGTCAACGGGACTGCAAGAATTTACCCAAACAGCTGCTAGGTAACATGAATAAAAGCAACAACTAAAAGTCAATGCAAACAAAGAAATATGTGTTTCTTCTCGTGGATGGAATGGTCTGTGGCTTGTGTACATTCCTGGATTATTCTAATCATTATATTTCCAATCCCTTATCTCCTATTCCTCATTCCTCCCTCAACTCCCATTTCTTCTCAACCTCTCTCATTTTCTACCCTCTTCATTTCTGCCCTAAGTCATATCCATCACCACATTATCTCCCACACTAATGTCCTATACTCAAATTTTTCATCTCATTCCTCATCCCTTCTTCCCATCTCCTCATCACAACTTTAATATCCCACCTCATCATTTCTGCCCTGATTTGTTTCTCTTACTCTTATTACTTATTTTCTACCCCTCATCTTCTACCTCTTATTTCCATCCATCAAAGCCATTTCTATGCATGCCTAGTATGTGACCTGGTGTGTGTGCACATTGCTGTGTCATCGTGGTTGACGTGCACCAGACAGTGCATGCTCAAAATGATTTCTGTGTTTTCCTGGATAATTACTGCTGGTTGCCTACTGTATAATAATACATAGTATTTTATTAAATTTCTATTAGATTTACTATGAAAGATTTTTCCCGTAGATATGCAGTTTAATCATTGTTATTCCAATGATAATGCCACTGTTATCAATGTTGGTTGTACAGTCCTGAGAATTCCCCTTGTTTTTGGATCATTTATTCTCTAGAGAAAACTGATTTATGTATACCTTTATCAAAATAATTAGAATGTTATTAAAATAATAGAAATCACACCAAAGATCATTCTCACTTTCACATTCTACTTGTAGTTCATTGTACGACATGCATAATTACCTTGTCGTGGTTGTTAAAGAGACTCTTGCACAATAAGAATAATAATATTTGATAGAAGAATAATAAACATTTTGTTATTATTGCACTCTGTCAAGGCCTATTTGTGTTTCAGATCCTGGTCATTGGATCAAACACATGATCAGTTACACAGTTGGCATATCCCTTCTTTTTTTTTCTCGTAATCATTGTATTTCCATTGAAACCCTACCTATCTCTCTGGGTTTATAAATCATTTTACCCAGGGACAATCTTGATTGAATACCCAAGCAACTGTTGTCACAAGGTCACCTAGTCACAAGTGGGGCCTACACTCCTAATTCATAATTTATAATTTTGAATTTAATCAAATAGAGATTATTAACAACAAAAGGACATCTTTGCAAAATGCCAACCAGAATAACTAACATAATTACACATTTTATTATGCATGCTATTATGCATGCATGTGTATAAATGTGGCAATAGTAGCACACAACCAATCATAGGATAAAAGCTCTGGATGTTTTATTTTTAACTCTGGCTTAGAAATATTAATCGAATGCAAAGTCCAAATGTAATGTAAAATCAACTTATGAGCATCAATATGAAAGCAATATATTCACAATTGAAATTGAAAGATAACCATCATTGATCATAGCCCTTTGTACATCATATGGTCTAAAGTTTTGAGCCATTTTTTCCATAGACTAAAACATTTACTCAATAGTATGCAGACCTAGGAACCAACTTCAATGCACCATTCTCAAAAAGTCAATATAAAAATAGTTATAAGTGAATATATTTTTGAAATTAAAATATTATTTTAATTTTTTTTTTTTTTTTGGTTAAGTTGTTGTGCTCTTACAGATATTCCAAGCAGTACATAGATTATTACGAGTGATTTAGAATAGGTGCATTTTTTGATATGATTATGATAATAGTAATACAGTATATACTACTTTTTAAGATTCTATATTAAATACTTGCAGTACACCACATAGATAGTTCTGAAAAGAACTGTTGTTTTGTTGAGAATGTCTCAATGTATCAATTGAGTTGCTTCAATAATAATACTGTAATTATTAATATTATTCTCCTGAAGAAGAACTCAATCGAAACATTGAGACATTCTCAGTAAAACAACAGTTCTTTTCAGAACTATCTACATGTACCACAAGTATTTAATATATTATTACTTCTCCATGCAATATTTATAGGATTCCTTTTCAAATTGCACTTGGATTGTACTTTGTATAAAGTGTATGTATTGCATGCATATATGTTTGTACCATTATGCATGTAACCGTCTCTGTCTGTGTAATAGCACTCATCCTTAACATGTGAAATATGTTGTATGTGTATCTTTTATGTGTAGTTTTTATGCTATATGCAATATTATCCATCATATTAGATATATTATGATTGAAAAATAGAGGCTTAGTGAGTGGTGATACTTTATTTAGTCATGAGAAAAGTTTGGTTTACTAGGAATGAACCCATCCTGCAGGAATTAGGATGACAGGCACAATCAATACTCTTATTATTTACATGTATGCATTGTAGTAGGAAACATTGATTTGTAAATAATATGTCAAATAAAGTTCTACAACTTACAACATAAATTTATGAATAGCATTTATATATACAATTACTGTATCACTTTTATTTCAGTCTACCATCTTTTTTATTTCCTCAGTGCTGTAGTTTCCAAGCCCAAAGAGCTTGCCAACAGAATAAGTAAGAAGCGATCGGGAAGTGTAGATAACATTGACATTATACGTAAGTTTCCTAATTACTGTATGTTTCTTTGTACTCTCACAACTACGTTTGTGATTTAAAGAGCAGCTTAGCTCAGTCGGCTAATCTGGTAGTAGCCACTGTGTGTGCGCTGAACCGTGGAGATCTCTAGGTCCCCGGTTCAATTCCCATCGCTGCCTCTCCTTGTGTTTCAGCTAGAGGGCTGAAATACAAGTTACATAGCGCACCGTCTTTCGGATG